TTGGAAGACTAAGTCGCAGACAAATGATTCAGTTACTCGAACAGCAAGAGATCATCACGCAACTTCCTTTTTCTATATTAATTAAACATTTGATATATAATTCAGCTTTATCCGCTGAAGGTTTTGTATACTTCAAAGAATCTTCGTCCGCAAAGGGTTAAATATCAAATTTCACCGTTTTACCGTGTCAAATCAAGAGGTGAGAGTCATCTCAGTGCAAAGGGTTAACGGATAATGCTTTAGGAACGCGCGGAACATTTTGTTGTGCGTATGTTACAGAAAACGAGATGTTCGTTCGCGATCGTGGTTGAATCCGGGGCTGGATTATAGACGCAACAAGTGCACGGTACCGCGCACGGCTCGTTCGTTAGTGCGATCACGTACGGTGGTATCATGATTTCGCAGGCAGTTTAATATTAATTGGAACAACCTTCGCGCGATCCTCGTCATCGACCGCTTTCGTCGATTAGATTGAATCGTGGGATGTGATTTCGTGCGTACGCTGGCACGCTGGGCTATTTAACCGCGTCCGTACAATACCGTCCAGAAGTTTTTCGACACTTGACGGAATTCAACGGAATTCCAGACCCGTTGAAAGCTACATTCCCGACAGAAAAATTACACAATCTCCCATTAAATCTCGTGGAAAGATGCGCTGTAGATCCTGTCGAATAAGAGACCGGCGTCGCATCTAGATTTCAATAAATCCGATTCTGGAAACTCGATCGTTAACATTTGAATTCAAAAGTAACCGTTAAAACTTCAATTCAAACATAACCAAAAAATTTGAATTCGAAACCGGTTGAAAGCTACATTCTCGACAGAAAAGTTACACAATCTCTCGTTGAATCTCGTGGAAAGATGCGCAATGAATCCGATTCTGGCGACCCGATCGTCAACATTTGAATTCAAAAGTAACCGTTAAAACTTCACTTCAAAGGTAACCAGAGTTCGAATTCGAAACCAGTTGAAAGCTACATTCCCGACAGAAAAGTTACACAATCTCTCATTGAATCTCGTGGAAAGACGCGCAATGGATCCTATCGAACGAGACATCAGCGTCGCATCTAGACGTCAATGAATCGGATTCGCGGCACGTTGGAATTAATATGGATCAGGCTGTACGACGCATCCGTCCGTTCGAAGTTTATGGTCCCGCGAGACTGACTCAGGGAGATCCAGTCGATAAAGTCTACTGTTGATAGTTCATTTGCATCTCCGGAAGGCCCTCGCGCCGCCTCGGGTCTCGTTCGATTCGCGTCGCTGAGATAATTACAGCCGGGACCGGGCATTACGTAATCACGGAAAGAAGGATCATTCCCATCTAGGCGCGCAAGCCAGATATCTCGTCAGACGGGAGAGCACACCGCGTCGCCGACGCGCCGCGCCGGTGTGACTCATGCGAACGCGACCGTTTGATCGGCCGGGGGACCTCGGTGAATCGTTAGCCTCGGCACTGCGTCGCGATTAAGGACGCGCACGCCGGTGTTTTGTTCCGTTTAATTAATTCATCAGCTGATCGGAACCGACTTCATTAACGTCTCGCACGGGCCCGCGACTCGAAACCCGTCAAGATCCTCTTTACGCCTAATTAGGAGTGTCTCTAGGTGGGGATCGGGTGGCCATGTAACGAATGCGAAACAAAGATGGCCGCCGCGTTTCTGGAGCACTCCCACGTATTCGCGGTGGCGGCGTTACATCTTTGCTTATCGATTTCTGTGTTGGACGTTGGACGTTGACGTTACATTTGAATTCGACCGTTGGAATTTGAAGTTAAATTTTAATTCGACTGTTGGAATTTGAAATTACATTTGAATTCGACCGTTGGAATTTGAAGTTACATTTGAATTCGACCGTTGGAGATGGAAGTTACAGTTGAATTCGATCGTTGTAGATGGAAGTTCAATTTGAATTCGACTGTTGGAGATGGAAGTTAAATTTAAAATCAACCGTTGCAACTGGAACTTAAATTTGAATTCAACCGTTGTAGATGGAAGTTAAATTTCAATTTTACCGTTGGAGATGGAACTGAAATTTGAATTCGACCGTTGGAGATGGAACTTAAATTTGAATTCGACCATTACAATTGTAACTTAAATTTGAATCCGACCGTTACAATTGCAACTTAAATTCGACTTGGACCGTCGAAACCTGAACTTCTACCATAATTCCACTTCTCGAGATCCGCCAGCGGATAAACGACCGAACGGAAAAGAGTTCGCGATGTCAGCGGCAGAAGCGACAGGGGGAAAAAAGGAAAAAGCCCCCATTGTTTCTGAATGAGTGCTCCGTAATCGCACGGTACGTGCATCCTCGCACGACGGCAGGCGAACCCAAACGAGCTTTCATCACGCACCGAGAGGCCGCGATTTTCTTTCTCTTTTTCGTGACTATCGGATACGTTCGAGGGGAGGGGGGCACGAAAGCGCGCACGATTCACACGCTAATTCACCGGCACCGAATCGCCTGCCTGTGTTCCTGCACCTGTGCACCTTCGTTCCACTCTCCTAATCCTGTTACGACCGCCGGCAAAAATATCGTGCGTTTTACATCGTCACCCGACGTAACAATAACGCAACACGTTCTACACGGTTGTCCTACCGTCGCGCTCTCAGTCTACTTACAGAGCACGCCTAACCTCACAAGCACGCCTGTTTCCCTCCTGTGTGTGATTGAAGAGAAACCCTAACCCAGATCTAAGCCAATTACAACTGAATACAAAGAATTATTATAAACGCGAGGAATAATTACATTCTATTCAGGAAAAATCAAGGAAACCCGACCGTTACGCGGCGCAGGAATTACCGGACATTATCAGTGCATAATAAATAAACGAGGCAATTAGAATTGCTAACTTGCTAAATTGTTGACCGTTAAAACCGTTGCTCGAATTCAAATTCGACCGTTGAGTTTGAAATTTCCGTTGCAATTTAAATTTAACAATTTAAATTTAACCGTTAAATTTGAATAAAATTTTACTAGTGTAATCAGACTTTTGGGATACCGTGTATAACGGTGGTGATAATTATATATCTCGTCGTTTGTTCACGTTTAATGGCCGTCGCCCTCGACGACCCTAATCTCTGCATATCGTGGCTCGTCATCGAAAGAAATCGCGTCGATTCATCGATGATTATCAATCGAGTAACGATGATAACCAACAGCACCGCGATATTTTAATCAGTGGGTTATGGTTCCTGTTTACTTTCCCGAAGTAAACGGATCGTGTTACGATGGTTAATTAACACTAGAACTACCGAGCGTTTAATATGACTGACGTGTACTCCTTTCGAAAATAATCTGTTCTTATAATTTTTCTTTTAATATTCGAAATGATTTTGAAAATCAATAGCTTCAGTTGAGTACTATAATCAATATATGAAGAAAATAATCTGTTCTTATAATTTTTAATTCCTCCATGTATTGATTATAGTATATTATAATTTTTAATTTCTTCGTATATGAATTACAGTATTCAACTGAAGCTATTGATTTTCAAAATCATTTCGAATATTCAATGCTTTCAAGATATTAATAATTATGAAGTAAGAAAACCAGTCATTTCGATTTCTAGTTCTAATGTTAATACCCATCTTACAATTAATCCTGTGCACTCGAATGTTTTTTACTGGAAATATTCAACTTTAATAAAATATATACGACGCTTATTACGACTAATGTAAATAATTAAAAATCAAACGTTATAATTTTACTGTATCAAGCCAAACCTCCCAACTGCAAAAAATTAAATATCTTCATTGCAATTGTCCAACAATTCGGAAGCACCGGTCACCGATGACCACCGTGCCCTTATTAACCTCATTTGCATCGGCAAACGCGAGCCTTATCGCAAGTGCATCTCATATGTTTCGATTATCTCGATTGCCGGGCGATATCGAACGACGTTAATCCGATGCATCTATATAAATATCGATAATTCATTTCGCAAACACTATTACAGGCAGATAAGATAAACGGGGCACCTTGTGTACCGCTATGCCGACCTACAATCAGGGGATTCGCGAAATAATAAAATCCAACGTGAGAAATTTATCTCCTCGCGGATGGTACGCGTGTGTTCGAGGAGACCGCAATATATCACTCGCGGCCGGTGTCAGCGCTTGATACTCGAAACCACCGTTACTCGCCATTAATTATTTTTACGGAACACACCAATACCCTATCCCGCCGACACGCACGCGGAATATGATCTAAGGTTAAAGAAATCGATACGACGCGTTCCCTGTCGGCACCGCTGCCTCGCGTCGATGTATCGATTCTGTCCTCGAAATATCGAATTATCCATCGGACACCGTTCGTTTTAAGAAACAGGTGAACAAAGAATAATAACACAAACGAAGGTGATAACCCGTGAAACATATGTCGCTATTTTTTCTTGACTCTCCCTAACCTCTTGCTGTATATCGCGTAGGTAAACATAAACACGTGAACATAGCACAATAGTCGATATCCTGACTCGGCGATCTCGAAATCACGAGCGAACCAACGTTTGACGATGCCTTTATTAATTGCCACCCGTGAATGCACTGTGACGAGTTACGACAATCGTTCATTACGCTCCTCGTGAGTTACCTTGGAATTCCATTGGAATTTTTGTGAGAAAATACCGAAGAGAAAAAATGTCACCTTTCCAAATGGCACTTGTATCTGATCACATGTACCTGTGCAGACACCTACGTGCTCGAGGCAACGGTCGCCGAAAATGAAAGTTGCGAATATTCTAATTTGCTGATAACGAGTCGATATCAACGGTCACGTATTTTTACCGCCTTTTCTCATCGACGTGCACTGCTACGAATTTGAACACGGAACGACAGTTGACACAGGGTAACACATAGCTCGTAATCATGGTGAGTCGGAAATGCTGTTTGTAATAATGATATTTGTTTGTTTTTTAGAGAAAGGAGAGATTGTGCCGTAGATACGTGTACGAGGAACGCAAATCGAGTAATGTGTGGATTAATGATAAACACACTCACCGAACCGAGGAACAGCGACGACACGACCGGCACGAAGTCCGACATGCAACTGGCGCTTCGTCGCGTCAGTCCCATCGGATCGGGGATTTTCGTGGGTTTTCGGGCATGCCACGCGGCAAGCGGCAATCACCTGGCGCACCGAGGAAATTCAACCGCGATTATTATCTGCACAACAGGTGGTAACAAATTCGAAAAGTGAAAACTGTTTAAGCGGGGCGTTCTGTATTATAAGAAAAATCGAATCTCGACTGTCGAAATCGGGGGTAATTAGGAGAGCTTGGTCGGATTTATTGTAGTCACGTGTTTAACGGAACTGGGCCGGAGATTTTGAAAAATTATTTCAACATAGTGATTAGTGTATAAAAATATAATGAGAGCTTTCGTTTTTGCCACTGAATTATTTGACAAGGAAAGTTTCTGCTTTATGTTTGGTTTTGTTAACTAAAGATGTATGTTTATATTTACTAGAAATCTAATTGTAAATGCAGTTAATTGGTGAGGTATAATTTGGAGATTTTGAAAATTATTTGAACATAGTAATTAGTGTATAAGACTATAATGAGAGCTTTCGTTTTTGCCACTGAATTATTTGACAAGGAAAGTTTCTGCTTTATGTTTGGTTTTGTAAACTAAAGTATGTTTATATATACTAGAAACCTAATTGTAAATGCAGTTAATTGGTGAAGTATAAATTTGGAGATTTTGATTGTTGTAAGATTTATATAGTTTGAATTTGACCGTTAATTTCTCTTGATTTGGATATGTATCGTTAAGCTACACGCCTCGTTAGTTTTACAATGCTACATTAGTGTATTTTTAGAAGCAAGGATAATGTATAATTTACATCAACATTTACGTCGGTAACGAATTGCTGCGATAGATAAAATAGACAGAGTCTATGACGTAGCGACATCTGAGATAACTTTCGTGGAAACTTACCATCGGTAAAGCAGAATGTAGCACGACCTACCTAAAATTCACTTGTATCGAATTTGTTGAAAAATGATTTATTCGCAAGATTTTACAATTCAGTGGCTAGTGAATTATACGATTTTTGATGAAAATACTGTGAAATTCGGAAAATACAATTGTATCCGCATTTTAGGATGCAGGGAATCGTGCGAAGTTCACTGACCTCACCGGGTCGAAAACATAAAGGTGTAACCGGCATCCCCGGTTTATATACAAGAAACTAATTTCTACTTTTATGCCCGCATAAAAGTCTCACTGACATTTCCTCGGATGAAACGCTTGAAAGCATCAGCATGGACCGCTGCATTCTCTAAATAGTATTTCTTTACAACCGAAGATATTTCTTCCGCCTGTCGTTCCGGAGAAGAATGACTTTTCCCGCCCATTTATATCACCCGGAAGAAATAAGACAAAGTCCCAATTCGGTGATGAAATTGTTTAGTGTCGATTTTCGGAATCGAATAAACGGAGACGCCGGGTTCCCTGCCAGGGGATCGTGGTACCGTAACAGTTTAACGATTCTCATTGAATTCGTTTTCAGTTCGGGGGAACGTTAACGGTTACTTTCCCATGGCAGTGTCTAAAGAATGGGAAGAAAAATGTAGAATCCCCTTCATCCTTGACATTTAACGAAGTTTCCTTTCATCCAGTTTCTAATGTCATCGGTTGCACACTACTCGCTCGGAAAATATTTTCGCACGCCACGTTTCGTTCCACTCTACCCTCTTTTCTACTTTGATGAGAATACTCTAATTATTCACCCGCGTAATTACAAAATACAATACGTTCCAATTACCTCGACTGATTGAAGATCTTCGTCAATTGCTGGCGTTTCTTTTTCATAATTAAACATATGCACAAAGAATTTAGAAAGAAAGTTTGATGATACTCGTGCACCTTTATATTATATTGGCATCTTTATAATATAGAGAGCTAGTATCCAAAGATAATAAGAATTCCAATTCAGTTATTTCAAATACATTCAATAAATTCGATATTAATATTAGACTGTAATTCAGTCCATGCTGATAAGTTCAATTACTTCAAATACATTCAATATTTGACTGATATTTAGCAACAGTATTCACCACTAATAACTGAAATAATTATTCTGAGAAAATATAGAACAAAATTGTCTCATTACATTTCATTTTGGGCCTGAATAGTCCTCTTGACTGCATACCATATTACCACACGCGTGCAAATAATCAGAAATGCATTAAAGAATGCCTCCAATGAAGATTCTTCTGAATGGCATGGTATCGTAAACTCGCAGCTAAAATTTCAACTATTCCATCTGCGAATTTTTGTTTCCTTCTTACCAGGAAACTCGGTCTATCCGCGTGCAAAGGCACATCCTAAAGGTCGACCGTGATACGCTTTCTCCGTCCCCTTTTCAGGTTGCAATTTCTAACCGGCTCCATCCGAGGTTGGATCGGGTTTACGTGTTGCTCCTGTGAGCGATGACCTCTACAAGGAAAATTCTCGGACTCGGCTTTCCTCCCTCCCTCCGCCATGGCCGCCGGTGAAATTCCTCGTGGCATGTAATAGCCGCGTACCTGACGAGATTAACGATCCATCGTGTAGGCGCGGAGGAGATTTGAATAAATAGATTCTTCCCGTTTAGACGATTCCCGGACGATCCTCTGATTGCGCGTTCGGTAATTCCGGCGGACGGTGAGGTAAGTTTCACCCACGACATGGAAAATTTCGTGTGCGCTCTTCTACAGGGTGATACTTGTACGGTGGCCGATGCGGTTGCTCGCAAAACCTGAGGACATGAAGAATCTGTTAAATCATCTATTCCAAGGAAACATTTGCCTCTTTGGAAACCGGTATTTTATGATTGTGTCAAGGGCATTTCAAGGTCATCGTAATTCTATCGAACACTGCAACTATGCAGTTAGACTTATAATTTCTTATAAAAATTGGAGTACTTTTCTTGAGATTTAAAATAATACTATACGTTTGTACATGTATTTTACAACTTGCAAGATTTTCACGGTTTCGATAATTGTAGAATTATAGAACCAGTCGTTTTGAGCTGGTTCTAGTGTTAATGAAGAGCTGTGAGTTTTTGAAATATCGGTGACACTTCAGTGAATACAAGTAGCCGAGTGAAGTATATGTCCATTGAACTCTGTTTTGAACGTCGTTCGTGTTTGAGGAACGTTTGACGTATTCTGAAACGGCGTGTACGTGTGACAAAGTAATTATTGCTAATACACAGAATGTGCCGCGAGCCATGACTCCAGCAACCATTATCCGGTCGTATTTTGCCGTCGAGTATTATTGCGTTTCGCGGATTCAACGTCCTCTAAAAGTCTGGTCACGGTAATAGAATAATTACGAGTGATTCCCGCGAACGGATGACGGAACCGCGAAATCCAATTGCCGGATTGACGTTAAACGCCGCCGGATAATTGATGACCGGTAATTTGCGATTGTTTCCGATCGTCGGAATTCTCATCCCGATTACGTCGGTCCGCCATCTTCGGTTTCAGAACGAAACGCCGACTCCGGGAACGCTCGTAAATCCCACGCTTCTTTCCTCGCGTGAGTGTCCAACCGATTTTCAGTAAAAACGATGAACGTTCTTCCTACTGGAAGGACAATGTTGTCTGAAACAATTATGAAAATCTTTCTTTCCGGAAAAAAATATTTTCCAGGCGAAACAAAACATTTGCGTGCACATTCACTGCGATTCGATGGTTACAATTGTCATTTGCGTCAACGCGCTAATAGGAATCGGCATGAAATTAGTTACCGGGAAAGAATTCAAATGTAAATCAATTGTAATTGTACAATTCAAATTCAATTGTAAATCAAAGTCTGAACAGATGCACTCTTGGAGTTTCTATAGCGAAATTTTAGAAAATTGAAGTGCTCGGTGGTTTTAGTGTTAATATCGACTAGTGGTGGTGTGTAATATCTGTTGATATTATACTTCGACATAATGCGTCGAGCTTTTTAACACTAGGTTTACGGAACGCGTCAAATTGACGCATATTGGATCTTAGAAATATTATTTCATCAATTCTTTTAGGAATAATAGAATGAAGTGTACAACAAATGCCCGTAAACCTAGTGTTAAACATATTCGCAGGCGAGTAGACGCTTCGCTAAGGTTTCCTCCTCCGTTTTCTGAAGTTTTCTTTTGCGTAGCCGACTTCCACGTTCGCGCAGTATTGCATTTCCCGTGTGTCAGCGGGCACGCAGCTTTCGCCGAGTGGCAGAGAAAGATGATCCACGAAAGCGGCGCGACGATCTGTGAATCGTGATCCTCGAGACGACTTATCGCGTCAGCCTCTTCCGCGTCGCTGATTCATTGAGCGTAATGATAATGGAATTCGTACGCTAAATAACCAACGTTAATGGGATTCCTTCGTCCAATAACTCAATGACAATGGAGTTCGTGTGATTTAGTAACTCAGCCTTTTCAGCTCGCAAAATTTTTCACTAGAAACATTGTTTTCCAGCGGGATGTGGACAACATTCTTGGAAACTGACTAATGAGAAAACGTGCGTAACTTGGGAACGAAAATATTTTGATGCTTCGCATATCGATGCATCATGCAAAGTTTGTATTATGTATATTGTATATTATTGCTATAATTAAATCAAGTGGTAACTAACTCTCATTACGCATGAATTTTTTGTGATCGAGAGCTTTTCAGTTCCGAAGATTTCCATAATAAAAACCACGTATCGATCTGTGACTATTGGAACAATTGAATAATTCAGTTGCAGCTTTCGATTTTAGATATCAAAGCTCGGAGTCATCGACATTCGACCGCAGAGTTAATAATAATGAACGAAATACACCTAATCTATTCATAGATGCTATTTTTAATCCTTGCTTCGCGGATGATGCATATCACGAGAATCTAGCGTAGGTTTCGATGTGCCTTTTACTCAAGACTCCAAGATCCGTTGTTTAAACAGAGTTTACTTTCAGATTTCTCTGATAGACCTTCGAAGTGATACGAGTCGAAGAATTTTGAAGACAACACAATTCGAGGAATGCTTCCCGTTAACGGCAGACAATCTTTTTCTCAGAACGGAAGGAAACAAAGGTGTTTATTCCGAGAGAGCCGTGCGCACCTTTCTCCCTGCGCATTTCCTGCTACGTCTCCGTCCCTCTGACTCCAGTCCCTGTGCCAAGGTTATCTGAGAACATCTTCAAGGAATTTGTTTACTTCGTTATAAACCAATATACAAACAAAAAGTAATTCATTTACGTAAATGTTACTGCGAACTTCACGTAAAGCGAGTTCGGCGTCTAACTTTTCTCTGGAAAAGATTTTCAATATGGAGGATTAAGACAATGACGTGTCATCAGAAATGATTAAAAGAGACTGCAACCTGTCGACAATCGCAGAAGTACCCATAGCAACAGAAGCTGATGTCACTCAAAGGACAAACCTCGAGCAGTCGCGCAGATTTATCTCGAAAAATCTCTAACAATAAAGATTTCCGTGTTTCCCAATCGTCAAACGGATTAGTCACAATGACGTCATCAGCACGAAACGCTGAAGTTCTCTAATTGCAACGCGGAAGAAGGACACGGCGTCGCGCAAATCGTGCGTGTCGGTTTGCCGATTCTTCGGCCGGACGAATAACAAAATCGCCGACGTCGGAACGGCGCGTTAGATGCTTTTGTCGTTCACGGATCGGTTGTTCCGATGCGAGATCACAATCGAGCCATATTAGAAACGAGCACGCCATCGATGGAACAGCGTGTGTGTGTAGCGAACAGCGCAATCTTGAAGGTGTTGCGCTCACAAGCACCGAAAGGCAACCATGTTAGAGCTCTCCGCGAAGCTTCCACTTTCCTTTCTCAGATTGATCTGTTCAAGACATTTTTTAATTAACATTCGCTTGTTAGACAGTCCTAGAGATTGAACTTTCGTTAATATACTATCAATCGGGGAGATCTCCCTTTTCCTTTGGCAATGTACCTGCCCATTGTCTTCTGGCTTCTTCACTTTCTTTCCTCTTTTGTTTTCTTTATAATTAAGCAACTGGAAATAAAGGATCCTTGCTGGTAAGTTTAAAACGTCTTCTATGCTGCATCAGATCTTTAACCATGTATTATTTACTTTTGCTACTAAGCTCAAAATGTTTCTATCAGCAGTTTAGAAAAAACGCAAAACTGTCCACTGCACTTTATGTGCAAATTTTCTTTCAAGATGATATATTGATAATAACAAAATAGCTGCTTTGATCTATGCGCATGTCTCACTCGTCATTGTAAGGGGTTAATTTCAGAAGACTGCTGCACCCTTGTGGACAATGCAGGCCAACGATGTTGTTTATTACTGTTACTAGTAATTCGCTACTGCGCAAGGTATTCAACATTCCGAATACCACTCGGAAAGGAGCTTTTCCTTCGTTTATGGGTAAATCGAAACGAAGCGGACCGCGAGGTACTAGATCGGTCAATATTCGCCAAATGAGTATGCAAATGGTGCAGTAGGAAGTAGTCACCGGTGTCCATTTTTACCGGCGGGCGTGACGCAACGTCGATCGTCGAGGAACGAACAAAACGGAAAGCAATGAAAAAGGCTGTTACAGATAATCCGACGGTCGTCGCGGTGGATTGCATAATTATATGAACAGATGACGCATGACAGAAGAGACGAATAAAAAGGAAAAAAACACCGAAGATGTCGATCGTATCTCCGGCATAAAGATGAATAACGAGGAAAACAATGCGGTTGAAACGATGATGCATAGATACACGATTGCACGTGTATAAATACGACCGTCTCGGCATTCTAATATATCCATCGCGATGTAACAACGCTTCCATTTTAGTTGTTCACTCGATAGAATCGATAACGCGTTCAAGTTTGCGGAATCCAAGTTCTGACTCTAGTTTATGCAAATCACCCTGGGAATCCACAGACTCGACGCAACTGCAGGCGCGAAGCTAGGGGAATATTCTTCGTTGCGATCCTTATCTCTGACCTCGAAAGTCTTCAGACTGAGGTTCCCAGGTCCAGAAGTTACTAGACACTTGTGATCAGCTTCTACGAAGTTCAGCAGATCAATACTTTTTCATAAATCCACAAGCTCCACAGACCTGAAACACCAAAACATCCTCTATAACACTTCATCTCATACCATTTCTTCATAAAACTTCTGACTGTGTATTCATCAAGACTTCAATTGGTTTATATTTCAGTATAAGTACTACTAAATCAACTTCTTCAACGATTTCTCACAGCATCAGTACTTCTTTACTAAGTAACAGAAATCAGTTCTAGTGTTAATATCCTCCAACTAGAGCAGTGTCCATCTTCCTAGGCGAGACTACCAAGATCCTCTATCCCCAAAGTGTCCAAAGCACAAACCAGTCCAGGTACATACGTATAAAGATCATTTAGCTAAGCTGAATGATTGAATTCTCATCTGATTGCTGATTCCTCAATACAGTTATCAATAACCAATAGAAAACTATGAACAAAGCACAGCAACAGACTCCTCTCGTCCGTCATCTAGCCACAGTCTCTACGATGCTCATAAATCAAAGTGATCCGATGGATCATTGGTAAAACGTCCATGCCCGATCCATCATATTACACCGCGATTAGACGGCCAGCACAGGCGACACTATTTACGGGTACGTCACGTCCGCACACGTGACCCGGGTGAATCGTCGATCGAACGGTCAGCCAGGAATCCCCCGAGCCAGCAGGAGAAACGCATGCACACCGCGCGTTAGGGAATCCCGAGAAACAGGTACGAAAGTACCATCCACCGGCACCCGGTTACTCTCTCTCGCGGCTCGGCGTCGGGCTCTTCATTCACGCATCCGACTCAGCGCGCTGCGGTTCGCGATCAAGCACACTCCGACCGCCATCCGGACGTCTCCGACGCGTGTCCTGCGATCGCTGGTTCGGTTACGCTCTGTACATGTGAGAATCTGTATTATCTTTCTTTTATCCGCCAGCCGGTCTCTGTTCGTTCCCATTCTATCGTCCTGGGGATACACGTGTGCCTACATGTATCGGGTGTATATTGTGGCGATCCGTTTACCTCGGGGTTGCCCGTTGTTCCGAGCAACCAGTGCGACGTGCCGAGTGTCCGCAGCTCATTATCGTAACAGGCTCCATTGATGTTGGCGTTTCTTGTGGTCTGTTCAGTGCGAGGTGTTTACGCGAGATTCTTCGAGCGAGGAGAGCGGTCGCGTCTGAAATCGTGAGACCGGTAAATGTTACGGAAAGTGATCAATGAAGTTTTTATTTTGACGATGTTTCATGGGGGAGGAAGTATCGTCGTTCTCGGGAGATTATTATTTGTTTGTGAGCTAATTTGTTTGCGATGTAGATTGTGTGAATATTTCATCCCTTAATTTTTGGAGAGATTTGTGTAATATTGGACAGCTTGACTATAATTGTTCCTTTAGGAATATTATTTTTTGATTGAATATTTATAGTGTATAAGGGATAGAATTTTATTCATTCGCAATTATTCTTATTCCACGTGATTCAGAAATCCTTGTTATCATCGATCGTTTCATTCAGAAATTTTTATAAGTGACCGGGACGTTTCTTATTTATCAGCACATCCTCTACCCGTGGAACATCGATCATCGACTACTTACACCTGTTAAAACTGTTTCGATTAATCGGTTATCTTGATCGACGCTAAGTGTTTTGCGCCAACTTTTCTACACTTTACAATAACTGTAAGGAATAATACCCAATTCTTCATTCGCAGATAAGAAAACCACGGATTATGTTTAATTGAATTCCTTTCTCTTCAATTCTTAAACTATTAACGTTAACTTCGTTTCCCATCATATCTTTCCATCGAAATTAACGTTTCTTATTTAAAACTACTAAAGTTACAATTTCTTACCCCTTTTTTTTTAACGGATTTCAGTTTCATCAGAATTATAATTTCTAGCTTATCACCGGAAGTATTAACTTACCCTACGATTTTCGCAAGTGAATAGAGCTATGTCTACCATTAGTAATTTAGTAGAAACGAATTCGATGCTTATCCTCTAAAAATTAAAGATCAATAACAGACAAGCAGCGTCGGGTTGACGCAACAATTTCGACGTCCTTTGTACGTAGTTAACAAAAGAATTATTCTCCTCGAGACGAACGTCTGTTTCCAAACTATTGTAACGCGTATAAAGGACACCTCTTTCTTCGACTTTATCGGCGCAGCTAACGAACAGTTGGGAATTCTTTTTATTCCCCGTAAAAGAACGTCGAAACTTTCGCAGCAACCCGACACTTCACTCATATAAAACACACTTGGCCAGACTTTACTCCGGCAGAGCCAAAAATCCTAAACCCAGAATTTCAAGAGCCGTGATCAGACGAATGTTATAATTGTACACTATCTATAACCTATTTTAAACAATAAGTTCGCATACATGAAAAATACTTAAAGATTTATATTCTTTAGTTTATTTATATTTTTACTACATTAAAGAATTCGTTTGTGTCAACGATATTCGTTCTACCTTGATTAACCAGTTAACTGTGTCTTAAAACTCTTACTGCTAACTTTTTCAACGATGGATTTTTTATTTTCTGAGACAAACATGTAATTCTTCGTTTCGCTTTAATTTTTCACAATAAGAGATTTTTCAAACTAAATTCCACACTTAACTGGTTAAAGAGAGCACTGACGACGTAGAACCACAGTTTAGTCAAGTATGACACAAGAGACGGATAGAATAATATTTAGATTCGTCGAACTCAAAATTTTCGTCGAGAATCTACCACGATATCGCAGAAGAATTAGATAAGATTCCGATCCGAAGTAAAATATTGCGGGCCTTCGGTCCCCGAGATAATGCTGGCCGAAAGGGGTCCGGCCGAGATCGGAACCCCGGGACTGCAAATTGCGGGGAAAAACGTTGGAACTTGTAACTGTTCGAATCGATTTTTTGGACGATTATGCCGGCCGAAACTGGTTTCGCGGACATGTTTGCGGCCGGCGCACAAGACTCCCGTTTCAACCAGTCATCATTGGTACTTCGACAGGGATCGTCGATCCTCGCGAGCCCTGTCAAATCGTGCCATCGACCGAGCACGATAAGAACAATTTCCGAAGGACATTCGAAACATGATTAACCCCTTAATACATTCCACTGTGATCTCTTTTGCAACAGAGCTATTTTATTGTTCCTAATCTGTTAGAAGGCAAAAATTCTTCGTCTACGTCTCCATTTACTCTGAATTACAAATAGGAAAATATTCATTTTGGACTCGAGGGAGTTAAGTGACATTTGTTCGATTTTATTTGAAATTTTTACCATGAGTGAAGATAGAGGATATTGCAAGGGGTAATATTCGTCGAAACTCCTGTGCAGTCGAGAGTTTTCTTAACGTATTCCAAAAGATCCTTGGATTTTCGCTGTTTCACGATTGGAACCGTTCACATGGTAAAAACATTCGTGAAAGTTCCTTTGTTAGTCGATTAAACGTGCATACATTCGTGAACTTACTGTGTTACGGTCTTAATTCCAGACAAATTGATCCTTGAGCTCAAGGATCATTTCGCGGCTTATTTGTTCTAATGAAACTAGAGTTCACTGATGTTCCAGACGATTCGTTGAATCTGGTGTACTCGTGTGAACTTAAGATAACTGAAAGACAGATGAAAATATTTTTATATTTCTCGTTTTTTGAAATCTGAAAACTTGGAAGACTTTGATACTTTTCGACACTTCCAAAAATTTACTGAAAACTGTTCGATATCTTTGAATCCTTGCGAAAGACTTCGTTTAGTGGATACGTTAGAAATATTCCAGCTGCGGAAACAAGAGAGTTTAAATCGATTAGAGAATCGCAGGATCCGAGTTGCGTTAGCGTGGAATCGGGTACGTAATAGAAATTCGCAGGTGGGAAATGTACGTTCAAACGAACCGCGGGCAAATATTGACAAAAAAGGGGACACACGCGTCAGTCTCGCGGTTGCAAACACTGATCGGCTAATCGATCGTCAATAATACATTTTATCGTTTTTTAAACACATTTTCATTAGAATTGGAACGAGCCAGGACGCTAAAGTCTTACGCAAACATAACGACATCAATCTTCACACGATACGAAGCATCGCACGGTGAATTCAAATGATTTTGCAACAGAAAAACAGAATTACTGAAACATTGAATGAGAAATTTCAAATTCAAATATAATTACGTCAGCATTTATACTATTCACGCTATAATTAAATACATTTATGCTGTTCACGCGTTATACTATTTACAAAGTTAACTATTTAACACGTTGACTTGAGAATTCTAAGTATTCTGTATGTTATTACACTTTAACGATGTTAACCCTTTGAACTCTGTAGGCTCCAATATTGCACCAGTTATATGAAATATTTTAACGAATCAAAGAAACTACCCTAAAATTACATTCTCCACACATCCAAATTTTCTAAGGAAAATAAAAAACTGAAGGGATGTTACATTTTTCATTTTCACTAGAGATACCATAAAAATTAGTCACAGTTAAATGGTACTAAAAATAATTACTACTAATCTGATATCACAGTAGTGTTACACTATTATTTAGTTACTTGTTACTAAACATTTCTATCTGAATTTTCTTACCATTGTTCTCCAGCGATTTAAAAGCTCTGGTCATCGACGACCACGGAAATCAACGTGTTAACCCTTTGCACTCGAAAGGTGACTCTCAGTCACCTTGATTTGATACAGCAAAATTATAAAGTCTATATATAATATTAAGCTTTGTATAGTGTATCAATACGTGGAACATTGAAATAAAATATCTTTCCTTCTTAATTCATACATGTTTTCTCATTAATTAGTTTCAAAGATCGTTTGTATCCTATCAGAAAATGTTGCATATTTCTAGTGAAAAACTTTGCGAAGGGTTAACATGTAAGAAAGAAATCAATACATTTAAACCACAATCATTATAATAGTGATGCTAAGTTCAACAAAACCAATACAGTCAGTCGTGATCATTGTATCAACAATTTACCAGTCACTGGTTTTATTGCAGCTTCAGTGAGCATTGCCCCAGCAACAAACGTTAAACCGATAATGAATCGAACATGGCAGTCACTTCGGTCAACTATGTTGCCGTTTACCTTGGGGTAGACGCAAAAGTCATTTCTCCCCTCCCCTTTTTCTTCAAACCCCGCCGGAGGAGCATAGCGGGCATACTTTCACTGTATCCAGCGCAGCTCGCGGTACTGTGCAGTACCATTCGTTCTCGACGCCCCTTCATTTTGTTCCCGGCTTTAATGACCGCTCCGGCCGATTGGTTTCTGTCGAAAACAAACGAAAACGCCGGGAAACAATATACATAAGTGGCCATTACCGCTACGCAATAAGGAATTTCCATTTGAACAGGGAAAAAAGAAATAACAATTGCTGCGCGACACGGCGCTCACCAGGTTCCTCGTGATCTGCGAACGCATTGGAAACATGCGCTGAGAAACTTCAGCAAACGTACTCACATACAGAGTGTCCCACTTAACCACTTATGGCTTGAATATCATTCTCATTTTATGCTATCTCTGCTCTCCATAGTGCGGCGCTGTGCAAAAAACATATCTGTTAAATAAGAATGTCTCCTCTCTTACCGAACATGATGGACATGCGTACGATGGTACGTTAAAGTACCATTTTTTTTATTGTATATTAACCCCTCGCCTTATGATTTCTTTCTGAACTCTCACCGATACTACTACTGTCATTAACCCTTAGCACTCCAGGTGTTATATTGTTTACACGTGTAACATGTTGATAGGCGTCTCATTTTTCACATGGAAAAATTCATATCGTCATCACGCATTTCATCGCGAATTTCAAATATTTCCAAAATATTTTAGACAAATTTAGAAACTGCCTCGATAAAAAGACCCCCAGTCGCCGATGATAAACGTTATCGATCGACTTATTGATTGCAAATTAAAAATAGAACAAACCGCAGATTTCCTGTGAATTTGAAAATGGAGCGTAAACAAATTTTCAAACGTCAACGGTTGTTTGTATCGGGTCGTGATAAAATAATCGATTTCTCTGTTTATTTGAATAATCAGTACCGTTTCTCCAAACGCCCATTAAAGATGACGGAATGATCAAAAAGATATGATCTTCTAATCCAATATTCAATAATGTATTACTTATCATTCATTAACTATAAAACAATCGCTCTCTTAACAAAGAAAAAAAGCATTCTCGGACGAGATCGCGAAGCAGAAAATTATAACCTACAAATATTCGTAATTTTCGACGATACGTTCTACCTGGTTTACCAAGGCTTTATGCGAAATCTTTTCCATTTCCTGATTTTACTCGTCGTTCAAATCCCAATTTGCCGTGGTCCGTCAACGGCCACGTTTAGTACCTATATAACGATAACCGAACGCATTCACTTATATTAGCTATTATTCCCGACCGTGACGAATCTTATCACACCTACCGAGAACTTCAATGATCTCGAAGCAGTGTCGTCGCCGACACTTACACGCGGTCTCTATATATAACCGGCTCCCGGGAAAAGTTAGACGACTCGTAGTGTGTGAACTATAACGATACTGTCTGACACCTGAAGTGTCCTCAGTTGAATAATAACGGGTCAGTCGAACAGGTGTCGCGACGCATTTACGCAGCTACATTCAAGCATCGCGAATTTTGAATTAGGTGAGTTGGTAATGACGTGAAGCGAGTTGATTGTGCCGTTGCAAACGAGGTTCAACCGTTAAATTTCATACGGATCATCTCATCTTTTTTTCTACAACTGAACTCATGATACTATTTTATTGAAACTATTCTTATTAGTATAATTATTATTATCGATTGAATGGAACACGAGCTTCGATCGAACCGGGAAAAATTGTTGACTATTAGATACTCACAATGCAATTCGCACTTTATCTCGGCACTAAAGTGAGACTGAAATTGTGTTGATTTTACTTAATCGCGGTGGTAATTCAATAACTGTCGGTGTGAATCATGCGTTTCATCGCATCTGCACATTCCGGCACTGGCACGGATCCAGTGGTGTCGAAAGTAGGAAAAGGGAGCCGAACTACGGCGCACTAATTATAGCGGAGAATAAAAATATTTCCTTACGCATTTTACAAACGTATTACTCTGAGGACACTTACGTGGACATTTATTTCGAATAGCACGATTCCAAAACGAACGGCCGGACGCTTTATCATCGCTGCATTTATTTCTAGATATCTCGAGTTCGATATATCTATTCCCGATTGCGAAATGTTCACGCCCGTATCGCGTTTTCAAAACCAATTTCAAGTGGCACGTAATCGATACGTGATTCAATATCTTAATATTCGATACTCATGGACATTGTACATTTATTTTATTTCGTCCGGCGAAATTTCGTTGGCGAAAATCTCGAAGCTCTATTAATAACGCGACGAACCTAGCATTAAATGAATAAACGTATCTGTAACCTTATCAATAAAAATAGTAATCGAATGTTTTTTTTCGTCCATCGATCGTTTTCTTGGTTAAAGTTTAAACGTTCAATTTTAAAGATATTTTCACGTCTGTAGTTTTTACGTAGTGGATACCGATGAATACTGTTTTAGTGTTGCCGAATGGAAGTTTTAAAAATAATAAAATATACGGCCTCCGGTAAATGAAATTTTTTACGGCCTTCCGGATTTACGTTTGTCGTTCGTCGCGCAGAGCTTCTGCTACCTTCACATCGTTCGGGGTGAAATTATTTTCGCATATTGTTTCACAAAAACGGCAATAACGTCGCTCGTGAGACGGCGCGATAATACAAACAACTCCATAACGGTCGATAAAATAAAGCCCCGTGTAGACCGATAAACTGTGTATCAGATGTTGCCCTGATAAAAAAGAATTCTTCGTTTTCCGACGGTCACGTACTTACTTACCAAGAAATCCAATTATACTCCGATGTCACATTAGTGTAATCGATCGTTACTTTTGTGTGAAGCACAATGACGAGATGTGAAAATAGGAAGAAAAGCAATTGAACACTTTGTCACATGCTACAACAAGATTACGAAACAATTCCTTTTTAGCCGTATCTCATGCGTCACAATGTTACCGACGTGCAGAACGATTGATCACGTTTCGTTTGTTACACACTTGTACCCGTATCACTTCATCACCCACTACTTTAATTAATAATTCGTAAACAACGCAAAATGTTCGAATATCAGCATTTTAAATTCTGAAAAACACCGACTGCCTCAATTGAGAATTTATGAAAATTACAGATTCGACAATACCATCGTTAATTATTTATTACGGTATAATTAGAATGTAATAAAATATCAAATTTCTTACACTGAACAGAATCATTTAATTAAATTCTATTGTTTCTGACTTCAACCGTATGCAACTTAACCTATTTCCTACTTTCACTGCAAATTATTTTTCCCATTTGCACATCGAATTTGATTCGCGAAATGAAATAAAAAGTTTGATGAAGAACTGTAATTAAAGATTAACGAGCACTTCGATGGTTTTACAGCCATCGACATCACGTGTGAATTTAACCATCTCGAAAATAGCGCGACTCGTGGGAACCAGAGGAAATAGGTTAATGGCTTCTTGCTTTTTATCCACGATTCGATAAATTCTAACTGAAAATTTCCTTTAAATTTATTGTTCTTAGTATACCTCGATAAAAGGAATAAAGGAACCATGTCTCCGAGGGACGATAATTGGCTGATGCGAAGACTAATGTCTCATACGGATTCCCATCACGAAGAGGAGGAGCACCACGAGACCGTAGACATGTCTAGGGTACTAATTGCTAAAGGTGTCACTATGGTCATCTTATGCGTAGTCAGCACGTGCATGGGCATTCTGCCGATGCAAATGGCAAAATGTTTGAAATGGAACACCACCGGCGTCACAAATCCTAGGTATAACAATTTCCGTCGGCTGGTTTTGATACAATAGACTTCTGAATATCACACCATAGTCAACCATTGCAGATCACAATAACAAACGTCAATTAAAAAAATTTCTACCGGGCAACCAAACCTGTAGACCTAATATCTAACACGTCGCACGATTTCATAGAGTAAAATAAAAATGGAAAAAATATTAAATCGTTTGATTGAATTATAGAAATATTTCTAAATCATTGTTCAATTGAATTACAGTATTTCGATTCGATTGGGAGTCACCGGTGACCCCCGTGGCGTACGTGTCAATCCTATCGATACATTCGATTAAATTTTCTTTGTCCAATAACCTTATCTCAGAAGTAAACATTAATTGTTACCTCAACTGCACCGTCAGACAGTCAATTTACTTTCTTGTTTGCCTGTGATCCTCTTAATGATTAACCTTAGCGTCAGTCTCGAAACGGGTGAATCCCCTCTGACCAAAGCGATAACCCAGTTACATGTGGGTCGTTGAAAGTAAATACGTTGGGCGTGAAGTTTGCGCATTCCGTTATCAGCGTGACGATCGAGGTGTAACGGTTACAAAGACGACCCCCGTGACGTAACCCCGTATTACGAGCGCAACATCGGGTCGATAAGCTAGGATTACACTGACCAATCTGTACTCGTTACGGTAGGTCGAGCAAGTTAGTGAGCTTGCTGCTAGGATTCGGCGGTGGTGTACTGTTCTGCACAACTTTCCTTCACCTACTGCCGGAAGTGAAGGAAGGGGTGGAAGATCTCACCAACGAGGGAAAGCTTCCTTCACTGAGCTTCTCGCTGGCCGAGGTTCTTACTTGTGCTGGGTAAGTTTGAAATCATTGAAATTTTTAATAACATTCTATGATATTGAAGTATTATAATAAGATTAGTGAAAGGTATAATCGAGGTAAATATTGGAAATGATAAATGCATTGTGTATTATTGAGAGATTTGTACTTAGGAACTAGGTGACAATTCTTAGGTTACCATATGAGAGTTCCATCTTTCCCGCCATTTCTCTTATTTTGTGGTTACTAATTGGAATCAAATATTGGACATGATAAATACATTATGTATTCTTGAAAGATAGATATTTAGAAACTGGGTGGCAATTCTTAGGTTACCATATAAGAATTTCATCTTTCAATTTCTCTCATTTTGTATTTACTAATTGAAATCAATTTTACTCTACCATTTTAGAAATACCGAACACTACTGACCACTCGAATGCATGGATTTTCAGATTTTTCATTATGTACTTGGTCGAGGAGTCGGTGCACACGCATTTGAGGAAGAAACAAGCCCAACGCGAGGACTCTTCCAAGAAGGATGTCAGCAGGAGCACGAACGAGCTGGTGGAGAATGGACAAACGCTGCCGAACTGCGTCAGCGGGCATTCTCACTTGTAAGAACGATGCTTACCAGCCGGTATTGGACCCGGCCATAAATCGTATGGAAATTACGCGGTGATAAAAGTATGTTCGTTATTATTGTAGCAACGGCCACGGCCATTCGCACCACTTGCCGGTCATAATGGACGAGAAAGACGACTTCGTCATAAGCTCCCTACGAGGATTATTAATAGTTCTCGGTTTGTCCGTGCATGAATTATTCGAAGGCCTTGCTATTGGGCTGGAGAGTTCAGCTACTTATGTCTGGTAGGTTATCAATTGACGATGGAATTCCGTTTAATGGTGCACAGGGAAAAAGCCTGTGTGCACATAAACTCGAGCCATCAACAGATGTTTATGCAAATTTATGTTTTCCGGCCTTGTATACAAGATTAGGAATGATATTTTTAGTGTACTTTGCATATTTACATATTACTATAAACGTATACGTATCCAAAGTCACACGAGTCTATTTTAAATGAATACCGAATTGGTTACTATTTAAGCAATTTCCTTTATACATCCGAATTACGTAAGTCTTCAAGAAATTAAAAACGTTTTATGCTTCTCGCAGGTACATGTTCGGCGCGGTTGCAGCTCACAAATTCGTCATAGCGTTTTGCATCGGCGTGGAGCTGATAGCGTCCAAAACCAGGCAGTACCTCTCCATCATTTACGTCTGCACGTTCGCGGTCGTTTCTCCTTTGGGGATCGCCATAGGAATGTTTCTAGTCGGCGGCGGAAGCGCTGCCTCTAGTGGCATACTTCCGGTCTTATTGCAGGTATATACTTCTCGCGTTACTGCGACACTTGTTTCATTTGTCAACGCACGCCGTCCTCCTATTAACAGATTGGTATTGGTTCACCGTGCGAACCTGAAATTCACAAGAAAGCCAAAACTCATCTGAAACCACTGTAAACATTGTAACACCAGTTTGAATGGATTGCAAAATCTTATATAGGTCCACCGTGCAAACCTGAAATTCACAAGAAAGCCAAAATTCACCCAAAGCAATTGTAAACATTATAACAGCGGTTTGAATGGATTGCGAAATCTTATGTAGGTCCACCGTGCAAACCTGAAATTCACAGGAAAAGCCAAAACTCACCCAAAGTCATTGTAAACATTGTAACGCCGGTCTGAACGGACCGCGAAATCTTATGTAAATCCGAACTTTTCGAGGCTTTTCGCTTGAGACGAGTTTGCTCGACGGACCTTGCGTAACCGGCATAACGTAAACAAAGTAACACGATATTCCGACGCAGGGTCTGGCTTCCGGGACGCTGCTGTACGTCGTGTTCTTCGAGATCCTCCAAGAGCACAGAACCGGCCTGAAGCAGTACTTATCTATTCTCGTAGGATTCATCCTAATGTTTGGACTGCAGCTGTTGAGTGAGTACAATGAGTACATTATGCACGGACACACGCGCGCCGAGCGGCGATCCGAGTTCGTGAAATCACGGGACGAGTAATAGGGGACCACGACGATCGAGGAGATCGGTCGTAATAAATTGAAATAAACCACGACGACCGGTGACCGTCCGGGGGCGCGAGGAATGCGATAATTTCAAGAGGCGCGAACGTGCGATGACATTATTGGCGCGGTTCGCGTGTATCGATTGTCACCGTGTCAATAGTCAGTTATCGGTTGACGAAGCACGTGGTTCGAAACAAGTCGAAGAAAAAGCTGACCTCGAGGCCAACGGCCGCGATAACGCGGCTCGTTGCAGTGAACGAGGAAAACGTCGGGAAGACGAATTTTCACTGGTATCCGCATTGTTTACAGAATTACCGTACCAGTCAAAATTTCATTTATTTCACCATTACGATTATTTTGAGATTGATTTCTATGTATTCCAAAGAAATCGTTGAAATACCTTCTACTGAATTACTATTGAATTACTATTTCAAAAATTCAATTTCAACACGAAGGAAGAAATATATCAAATCATTTGATTGAATTGCATTATTATTAACATGTATGATAAGAAATACTTTCAAACGATCGTTTTATTGAATGAACTATAGTAATTCAATTTGAGATCACCGGTGACCTCCATGATGTTCAACATGTTAATATCATTTGTTAATTTTGTTAACTTGTTCATTTCGATCAACGCTGTACGCGTCGCGTACGCGATTCATATCGTGAATGATAATTATCGTCAACACGAAAGTACAGTTTTTGATTGGCATCGAAATTATCTCGAACTTATCGCTGGCACCGAAGCGTTCGCTGGTAATTAAAACCGGTAGCGATAGTTGCATGCCACTGATAAATGATTTGCACTCTTCAACTCTGATATTAAGTTTCTTTTCAACGATACTGTCGGGAGGGAACGACTGCGAATGATTCTCGCCGCTCCAACCGTGCGCGGCGCGTTCAAAATTGGCACGAATCATTTGCGTTCCGCGCAGATACCTCGTTGATGACTCGCGCAGCGCTACTTTTTCTGCACGAATGATTCGACTCCGCGTGACCGTTGTCGAAGTGCCTTTCACCGTGAAATCAGGTTCATGCGTTTGTACCCGAGCGATGCTGATTCATGGCCGAGTCGGCGAATTCAGATAGCAGCCGCGAATCTCGCTGGATCGAATCGATTTCGCGTCGGGATTAAATTATTCGAACCTGAGGAACGGTATAAGTAAACAGCTTAACATTAGAATCACCAGATATCTCAAAATGATCCATTTTAAACCTCTTCTTCTGTAATTATAGAAAAAAACAGACGATCTCAGGAATCTTAATAGTTTGTATTGATCTAAATCAATTTCTTGCACAAGGAAATTGAAATCTCAATGAATGTATCTTTATAAGTGTTACAAGAAAGCGCAGAACAATCGATTTTACTGGTCGATAGTTCCAATGTTCATGCTTCGGTTTCACAGATAGGAATAATCTGAAAGTACACGTATCGTCTCGAATGAATCGTGCCGCTTGCCGCTGGTCGAGATACGAGCCGCCCGGCATGAATCATTTGTGTACCAGGACTGGACTTTCCTCGGAGAGACTGACAAGCGTATAATTGCTGCGACGAGTTATCATTCACTAAATACTCGAACAAAGTTGCACGCTTCTCTATCGATATTCTTTTCAATTGTCGAATTAAAAAGCAATCGGAGCTTATTGATTCTCTTCTAATTCCTCGCGGTAGATAGAGGATTATAAAAACGACGCTAAGACCTCGCTGGAACTTTCCGACATCTTCAAACGCGAGATATTTTCCTCGTTGATATTGGGAATAGAAATCTTGAGCGCTCCGGCGAAGGAACAAAGGAGAGCGACACTCGACAAACATCCAACGAGCTGATATTTTTAACGTGTTGTTTACATTGTAGCCGCTGGTTTTCATTGAACTTTGAACCCGAATGCCGAACCGTCATATGTTTTTTCGTATTTTTAACTATCCCACGCTTTTCGATTGCATGTTTATTCTTGTTGTCGCACACGCGACGATTCGACACTACGGCTCTCTTATTTTTCAACGAGACTCGTGACTCCGTCCTAACGAGAAAACTCGTGTCGTACCGTTTATGGCTTTGATCTGTGGCATTTGGTTTTAGCGGATTTTATGATTATACGAGAGATAAAGGTACGCGTTCTTCCGAAACGCAACGTTTCCATGATAGAAACCGCTGGTCACGACTGGCTCAGTCTCTTTCGATTAACACTGGAACTACCGAGCATTTAATAGAAATTGTAACATTAGGTTATTTTCAGTTTCTTCGGACATTCGTTATAGTATTCGAGTGAAACTATTTATTTTCAAGATTATTTCGAATATCCAACGTCTGTTGGATATAATAGCTTTGTTCGATGTACGTGTGATTCCTCCTCGAGTTAGTTTCACAAAATATAGTCTTTATCTCATCAGAAAATGTTGAAATATTTCTAGTGAAAAACTTCCAAGTGCAAAGGGTTAACTCCATACAACATGCGAAGCTATTATCTAGAATTCAAGGTCTAAGGATTAATATCTTTTTGGAGCGTTTTGAAAACACAATTTATTTTACAGCACTCCAACCACTGATTTCAACCCTTTGCCCTTCAAACATTTGTCACTAGAAATATTCAATTTATTTTTATGAGATACAGATGACATTTTTTTCAACTAACTTAACAAAGGTATTTTATTTCCACACTTCACGTGTCGACAGATTACGCGAGATTTAATGTTAAATACCAAATTTTACAATTTTGATACATCAATCGACTGACCGAGAGGCACCTTTGGAGTGCAAAGGGTTAACTGTTACTCTGATGACTCGAAAGCGATGCCGCATTCTCCCAAACCCATCAATTGTCATCGAATTCCTCCGGTGCGGGCCGTTCGTACAATTCAGGGTGCAAGGATTAATATCTTTTTGGAGCGTTTCAAAAACACAATTTATTTCACAGCACTCCAACCACTGATATTAACTCTTACTCCGACGACGAGGATTCGAATAACTCGAAAGCGATGCATTCTCCCAAACCCATCAATTGTCATCGAATTCCTGCGGTGCGGGCCGTTCGGTGATTGCTGCCGTTCGCGTGTAGGAAGTTTACGGGGCGAGCGGCAAGAATCATTATAACAGCATTCACGTCGGTTTACGTGAGCGCATACAGCGAGAGAGTCGACGGCCGACGGGGAAGGAGAGAACGGGCTGCGTCGGTTGGGAAGCGGCGCGCGTTGGAGGGGGAAGGGAGCAGGAAACGATTCGGCTGGAACTATGTAAGACGCGAGGGGATCGAGCGAGTCACCAACCAGCCCCGGAGTGTCCGATTCACCGTCGCACCGCGTGGAGCTATCGTTCCTACGACAATACACCGACCGGATGGTTCGCGGCGGCTCCTTCGGGTCCTCGTTCCAATTCCAGAAAAGAGAAACTAACCGGGTGTCGGCTGTGGAAAGTGCGGTCCGGGTTCGCGACTGATCTAACCGAGGATCGCAGAGTATAGTCGCCGCGAAGTGCTCCATTCAATTCAGACACTTGTTTTCAAACTGCGCACACTTCACCTTGTCATGTACCTGTAAGAGCAATCTAAACGATAGAGATCGTTAGGATCATGAGTATAGTTGGTCAAATTGTATTCGAAAGCGTTTGCGTTTGACGCTTGTATTTGTAAACGTGTTGAATGTTAGTGATCCATGTGTCGTGAGTTTCGAGGTGTATAGTTGCTCCGAAACGGTCGACAGTGTTTAGGAGACACGTTTCTCTTCGGATTTCACTAGCGGTACGGTAGCTTCAATGGTGACATGTTCATAGCGAGTATAGTTGCCAGTGTACCATTGAATCTGGCTGCGTCGCTTTTTCTTCTGAACGTTTGATCTTGCCGTGTTCGTGTTAGCGAAGGACAATTTCAGCGATAGGATCTCGTGGCTGGTATAGTTGATCCGTGTCGGTTATAGTATAGCGTTGAACCTCGTTCCGACTTGCTGGGACAGTGGTAAAAACAATTGCGCCGAGTGCAGTGTCCCGTGAAGAGTATCATCTACATTTCAGTCCGGTTTTGTAATTAGTATAGTTGCTCGTAGGTATTTACATTGCGTGGTTCTGTGAATCTTGGACATTTTCGAAATTCACTTGGAACAGATTGACAATTGTAGGAAAACTGTGGATTAGGATGGACAGTCATTCGTAATTTCGTAATTAGTATAGTTGTTCAGTTATTTACATTTGCTGTTCTCTGAATCTTGGACATTTTCGAAATTCACTTGGAACAGATTGACAATTGTAGGAAAACTGTGGATTAGGATGGACAGTCATTGACAGGGTGGTGTATATAGTAATGAGTATAGTTGTCTTTGGTAGTTTCTTTGACAATCTACGACAAACATTTTAGTTGCTATATAGTGAACATTTTATAGTGACTATAGTTTGACATTGGTTATCCTTTCTACAATGCTTTATCTACTCGGTCTCACAACTTTTCAAACATGAATATTATCTACGTTTAATTTGCGAAAACCGCTTATTAGTTGCAATAATGATACCACATTGTTATTCATAGTCATTTAAATAGATAGCGACACGGTAAAGAATAAACACTATGACCTCTAGAAATAGCGACTTACTTTAACGAAATTTCCTCTCAAAATCTCAATATACAAATCAATTTCCTATAAAAAATATTTCTAACACTGTACAGTTTCTATTGTTCCTGGGGAAGTTGATATTCGTTCATTTAGATTTTGGAAATTGCAGACGTGGAAAGACGATCATTCATATTCGTGTAATCGGATCAACCGATTGAAACATTTACCAAATAACGTTTATAAAATTCAATCTGCGTGAATTTCGTAAACCTAGCGTTAATACATCAATACCAAACTCTGATCAAACCAGAATTCATCGTGCAAAGAGTTGCATTCGATCCACGTCGAATCGGGTCCATCCAAGATTCGCTCTAGATCCGGTCGAGCGACGTTCTCCGCGCAATTACCAGAACCATCAATATCGCGGGGATTAAATCTTCATCCCATTCGGTCGGCCAATTATCTTCATCAAGCACCAAGAACCAGAATCTCGATCCTCCTCTCGCTCGCTTCGAATCTAACTCGATTGTGCCGTTCTCGTCATCTTCTCTTTCCGCGGAATCGGCCGGCGACCGAAAATCCGCGCGTTTTCCCGCTCGGCCGGCTTTATCCGGCGAGATCGCGGAACAACGAAACGATCGCGATAACACGTTCCGTGCCCTGGATCCAGGCGAGTGTCGCAACCTCTCGCTTTTCCTTTTTGGAAAGTGCAAATCGCACACTGTTGCGAAACGCTCGGCTCGCTCGATCGTTTTTCCCTCGTAATTAACCGTTGCTCGTTAGGATTTTAATCTTCTCCTCGAGCGGCATGCTGCGAGGACTTTCAGCGTGCCGGCGCGGACGCAGTTAGGGTATCGGAACGTTAGGCATCCACCGGTTGTGCAACTCCGTTTTGAAATGGGGCGATAATAATTGGTTCGCTGGAATCCCATCGAACTTCGTATCACTTTCTTACGAAATTTCTTACTTCACGGCTCGAATCTTGCGTTGAAGCACTTAGCCTCCTGCCCTAGGATTTCTTCCATACTGCATTATTTTATGATTGATTATTTAGGAAAGGAGTTTATTTTACTTTGAGTTGGTGACGGATTCAATTTGAATACGAAGGAACTGAGCAGTTGTATCGATTAAATTTTTATCGCGATATTCACGAGTCGCGCGATGTAAGGGGTTGACACTAGAGTTGACGCTAGATTTACGGAATTTTATGCTTATTCCACGATTACTTTGAGTTGACAGATTTAATTTGAATAAAGGAACTGAGCAGTTGCATCGATTAAATTTTTATCGCGGTACTCACGCGCGATATAAGGGGTTGACGCTAGATTTACGGAACAAGTCGATTCGACTCGTGAATTTTATAAATATTTGCTAAATGTTTGTGTCGAATTGTAACGAATATCAATGTTTCTAACAGTACAACAGATTGTATAATAAATGTCCGTGAATCTAGTGTTAGAGCGACGAGAACTTTTCCTTCGAGGACGCATTAGGTATTTTAATCTTCCCCTTGAACGACACGCCATGAGAATTGACATCCCTTTGACAGGCACGCAACGAGGACTTTAATCTCCGTTTTATAAAGACAGCTCGCAAGTAACTCGAGAAACGGTACGTGTTTCGCGTGACCGCCGCATGAAGGCAGACATTAACACCCACAAATGACGAAAGGTACGCCGCGTACCCTCCTCCGCGAAATTCGTTCCCCTTCGACGACACCGCGGCGCGCGTTAAGTGAAAAAGCAACTGCGCCGTTGATCACCTGATCGAACGGGATAACAGTGTGATACACCCGTGCCCGGCTACCGATGTGAGCATCGAGCGCTGTGGAGATCGCAATGAGCATCGTGGGAGACGCGAGGATGAAGGACGTGGTGAAGTGGTAGCAAGGAAAGTGAATCGATGTGAAGAATCTTCTCTCGAACTCGTAACAATTGAAACTTGAATCCTAAGAAACGAAGAGTAGAACTTAGGAAAGATCAGAAGAAGTTCAGTGTGGAGAATTTTAGAGGACGTGGTGAATCGAAGTGAAGAATCTTCTCTCGAACTCGTAACAGTTGAAACTTGAATCCTAAGAAACGAAGAGTAGAACTTAGAAAAGATCAGAAGAAGTTCAGTGTGGAGAATTTTAGAGGACGTGGTGAATCGAAGTGAAGAATCTTCTCTCGAACTCGTAACAGTCGAAACTTGAATCCTAAGAAACGAAGAGTAGAACTTAGAAAAAGAGTAAAAGAAATTCACTGTCGAGAATTTTAGAGGACGCGAAGTGGTAGCAAGTGAATCGAAGAATCTTTTCTCGAACTCGTAGTTGAAACTCGAAGAGTCCTAAGAAACGAAGAGTAGAAGTTAAACAAAGGTTAGAAGTTCAGAGTCGAAGAGGATTTTAGAACCGAAGGATTGTAAATTCAAAGAGCGTCGAGAAGCTCGGCAAGAGAAGTTACTTCGGATATTTGCATCGCGAAAGTGAAGTTTCCTGTTCGACAAGAAAATGGAGGAGACAACGACGTCGACGATCCTGCTGGTAGCTAAGATAGGAGCGATGATCGGCCTCGGGTTCGGCTCGTTGATCCTGGGCATGCTGCCGTTGATCGTCGGACGATATAGAATGAATCATCGTCAGAAACGGCACCGCGGTATTTCCAGTAATTCCAGTACCTGCACGTCCACGTCGGTGTCGAACGCGTTCGGGACCAACACCGCGACCACGTCCGCGAGCTCGCAAGTACGTTCCGATTCGCTTTGGTATTTTGCTTCGACTCCTGGTGTCCCTTAAAAAAATCTTCCACTGGTAAAGTAAAAATTCGCAATGCAAGAAGCTTTGAAATTTATTGTAATAGTGTAGATTGTTCGCTAAATCGACCAATGATTACTTACCAGTAGAGATTCGAGGGAGCTTCGAAGTACTGCCTCCACAGGAAATATTCAGTCGATCGAATCAGAGAATTTGTTCTCCATGTTGGGGTAGTACCATTCCAAGGACATCGACCTAACTCGTTTGTAACACTTTCCAAATTAGACTCTGATAGAAGCAATGCCTAATTCACAGTTATCTGGTTAACCCATTCGCTGCCAAGGACGAGTATACTCGTCTTCGATTTCATGCATGTAAATGATTATGTATGATAATATATGTTTTTACTAAGAAACAGAACTTTGGTAAACAATACCACTCAAAATATAAATGGAAATAGCTTCATATAATTGGCAGCGAATGGGTTAACCTTTGCACTCGAGAGGCGCCTTTGAGTCGCCATTTGATTTGACCCATGAAAACGATAAAATGTAGAATTCAATATTAAATTTTTATATAATGCATCAACACATGGAACATCGAAATAAAATAGTTCTGTTAATTTATGCAAGGTATTTCTTTGTGTTAGTTGTAAAACATATCATTGACATTTCATCGGAAAATAATGAATATTTGTTGAGAAAAATATTCTCGAGTGCAAAGGGTTGAAAGTTTTAGTAAAGCTATTCCCAATTGACATGTAAATGATTACGTACGATAACATATGTTTTCACTAAGAAACAGAACTTTGGTAAACAATACTCAAAATACAAATTGCAATAGCTTCATAAACACAATCTTAACGAACGTGTTAAAAGTTTGAAAAGCCATCAATCGACATTACAAACGAGTTAGCTCCCTCAGCTCCCAAACCACCAAGATCCCCATATCCCCAACTTCCCAAGGGAACCGAAACGAAACCGGCACCGACAACCGGTCCATCTGCTGCTCCCAGGGTCTGCAGACCTCGTTGCTGCTGTGCTTCGGCGGCGGAGTGCTGCTGTTCACCACGTTCCTGCACCTAGCGCCGGAAGTGCGCAGCAGCGTGGAGCGTCACCAGTCCAACGGGCAGCTACCGAGCCTGGGCACGCTGAGCCTCTCGGAGTTGCTGTTCTGCGGGGGCTTCTTCCTCGTGTACTTCGTCGAGGAAGCGGTGCACGCGGCGCTGACTGGCAAGCCGGAGTCCTCGGAGGCGTTGCTCTACCGCACGGTGTCGGTGCGCAGGTGCAACAACAACCAGCCGGGCGCGTCCTCGGCGACGTACACGGGTTCCACGACCACGGTGTCGACGACGACCAGGTCGACGTGGAAGGAGGACGTCGACGACTCCGGGGACAACGACTCGACGAAGCGGTCGACGCATCACCTGGACGACCTCCAGGACGCCAAGGACAAGGACAAGACGCTGCCCGCCATCTTCGTGCTGTCCTCGCCGTCGGGGCTGTCCTCGGAACGCCATCGCGAGCACCCGAGGCACTCGTCCTCGGTCGCCGATCTGAACAACTACCCGAGGGCGAAGCGGCACGAGCACAAGCACGCGATGGCGAAGAACACGTCGGTCCAGGGCCTCTTGACCGTGCTCGCCCTCTCGTTCCACGCGATCTTCGAGGGACTCGCCGTCGGTCTAGAGCCCTCGATCGGCTCCGTGGTTTATCTAGCCGCGGCTATCGCGACACACAAGCTGGTGATCTCCTTCTGCGTCGGCATGGAGCTGTACGTCGCCGGCGCCTCCACTAAGACCACTCTCGGCTATCTGACGATATTCTCCATGGTGACGCCCATCGGCATCGCCGTCGGCCTAGCGCTCGGCCATTTCAAGAACGACAGCGAGAATCTAGGCCCGACGCCCACCATACTGCAGGGAATGGCCGCCGGCACGTTGCTCTACGTCGTTTTCTTCGAGGTCCTCGCCAGAGAGAGGGCTAACGAGAAAAGTGGGCTCTTACAGCTGACGGCCATTATCGTCGGGTTCATGCTGATGCTGGGCCTGCAAATCACCAGTGAGTGTTTCCCGGATTGTCGCTGCGACGGTTATGATGGGATTCGTTCATTCGAGGAGTCTGTCGCTCGGGTTACTCTCTCGCGGAGTTTTGTATTAGGGATTGGGAAGTAATTGTATTTTGATTACGATAGGCGTCGGTTCTTGATGATGCTGCGCCTGCAAATCACCAGTGAGTGTTTCGAGGATAGCCCATCGTTTCAAGTTTCTGATGGGCTTCCGTCTTGTCGAGGATTCTGTCGTTCGTGATCCTCTTTCGCGAATTTTCGGGGTCTATGAGAATTGTGGGTTCAAACGTTTGTAGGACGACAGTATTAGAACTTAAAAAATAATTATATTTTGACGATTGTAATCGTCGGTTCATGCTGGTGCTGCGCCTGCAAATCACCAGTGAGTGTTTCGAAGATTCTGTCGTTCGAGTTCCTCTTTCGCGAATTTTTGGGGTCTATGGAAATTGTGGGTTCAAATGTTTGTAGAACAATGATATTAGGGTTTGAGAAATAATTGTATTTTTTAGTGAGAATTGCGTGATCTCTTGCTGTTCAAATAATTAAATCGTCTGTTTGAGAATTAGCCTTGCAAATACGAAAATTTCATCTCGCAAAGGGTTAAATGTATTCTATGAATACGTGAGCACGACGAAATCCGCAAGTTAACTTTCACGAACCGTTTCAACGGTGCTAAGGAACGAGATCATCGGATGACTGCTGGTGAAAGTGGGATCTTATTGACTAGCCACAAAGGATCCACTGTTTCCTAGCGGCACTTCATTTTCCATTTCAATGGCGACTATCTCTTGCCCATAAACTCGCCAAGGACGCTGTGACCCTGTTATTAACACTAGAACTACCGGATGAGTCAAGACGACCCATTCATGATGTCTTTCCCAGTTGTTGAAAAGATAACGGATTCTCTGAGAAACTGCTAGAGAAATTGATTTACTAATACAGACACTACAGTGCGAATCAATTGTCTCAGTAAAGAATCATCACATCAAAAATCTCAGTAGTTGCTCCATTTAGTCACAGAGAAATTTCAAAGACTGGTAGTTCTATTGTTAATGTTTCATGACTCAAAATTTTCTCCAAATTTCCATGATCTTCATGAAACTGAAATTAATGCTACAAATATTATTCAAAATGATAAACTACATTATATTTAGGAACTCAATGACTCGTTTCAGTTTCGTTTTTCTATTTTGTTTAGATTTATTAAATCGAATAAGCCTAACAAACGTGTTAACACTTAGCCAACCGAATGGGGAGATCTCCCAATTTTCACTTAGCGTATTGCCTTTTATTCTGTTTATTCTTTTTTGCTGTTTAGTAAGTCTTGAAGTGAGAATTATTTGCAGTTCATCAAATACGATTCTCGTTCTTACAAAACGAGGTTTCAACCAAATTAATTGTACGTGTTCAATTGAAGATAATAAGTGTTAAGGTTACACGGAGCAATATAAGAATCCCCGCAAAAATGATTTCCTCCGAATACATCGTCTCGAACTGACGTTCATGAGAACGCGCACAGTTTCTCGTAAAAATTCGCTCGAACTGTCAGTCAACCTAAATACCAAATCCGTATCCCGCGGCGTACCGGGAACGATTAACGTCTTGGCAGGACCTGTTTCTCGCAACCAATCCGTCCCGGTGCAAACCTATCGCAGGTACGTCCTTGATGGAATCACCTCCCACGTGTTACTCGACCTCGCGGAAACGTCTATCGATTTGACGAACAACCCAGTAACGACGCCCAAAAAGTCACGGCCACGGAGAGCCATGGCTCTCCGGCGCAGCTGATACTTTCTTCTGTCAAAGTAAATTCTGCTGTCTCTTCTCTAATATTCTCACGACTGACCTCGTTAACCTTTTGGACCCTGGTGTCATACTAATCTTGTTACGTATGGATATCTAAAAAATTTCAAAGAATCGAACTATCTTGACAGATTGTGTATCGGAAACGAGGAATCTCGTTTTTATGTAAGTACCTATCTTTCTAGCTTTGCTAGTTACCACATCATTAAAAGAAACATTAAATTTTGCCAATTAAGCCACATTGCCACAAATTTAATTCCATACAGCCTTAACTTTTTCAAATTATCATGCATTTCAACCCTCGGAGTACAATTTTCCTATTTTCCTATTTTTACAGCTCATAGAAATTTATATCAGCAACCGCAACTAATTTTTATAGTATCCCTAGCAAAAATGAAGAATGCTATGACATCTCTTAGATCTTTTATTCTCCTTCTTACTGCAAAATTTGGATATATGAATAATCTAATAATTATAGGGTAGCTTCTTTGATTTATTGAAATATTTGACATTATAACTGGTGCAATATTGGAGCCTACAAAATTCAAAGGATTAACACTAAAATTTTCATAACGCGTCACGTGAAATATTATAAAATACTTTACCTTAATTTATCAAATTATGTACATTAGTCATAATTTCATTGGAGCATTAAGAATCATTAAAACATCTAATATCATTCCTGGTACAATATTGTAACCTACAAAGTTCAAAGGTTTAACTCTTTCCAAAGAAGATAACCCCTTGAATCTCCCAATTCCGTTCCGATAGTTCGTCTGAGTTCCCCAATATGGCAGCTCCCATTTCGTGACCCAATAAACAGCTAACGGGACGCCCGATATTAGGTCGCCGAGCACAGGTTGAGAAACTCTGCTCTAATCTATCGAAGGGGGCCGAATCGTCGCTATCTCTAAACAGACAATTCAATCCCGTTCACCGTTTCTCCGTTAACGAACGCAGGAGACGTTGCTCGGCGCGCCGCGGCGAACGCTGGTAATCTCCTCGGCGGATCGTGAACCGCGCAACACCGGAAATCCCCGAACGGAGTTTGTTTGGTCACTGACCGTTCTTCACGCAATACGCCAACGTTCGTACCGAATAACGGAGGCAGTTTGCGTGCCGGTTCCCTCTAAAGAGCCTTTAACCCCGTCTACGCATCTGATTACGGGAATTTACGGATTAACCTTTATCCCTTCCCTCTCCATTCCCATAAAACACACACACACACACGCGCACAGAGAGAGTATCGACGCGACGCGACGCTTTTTTCCACCCTTTCCGTGTTACGCGACGAACGCACACAACGAACGCACACGACAGCTCAATTGCAATTAGGCTAATGATTCCGATAACCCGTACACGCACCATGGTATGAACACCGCGGCGAAATGATTCGTGCCGTAGGTCGCGCGATGGCCGGCGCAGCGGCCGGCACGAATCATCGAGTAACGCTTTCGCGTGGCGACGCTCGTGTTCGTGTGTACAGGAATCGTCGCGGCTCGAGCAGGCAACAATGAAACTCGGATGTACCTATTAACCCATTAATCCGCGAAAACTGCGCGATGTTCTGATGACTGCGGAGTTCGGCTCGATTCCTTTGCTCTTAGAGGTTTCAGCTTCCAGGGGAATTCTGTGAATTTGAACTTGGAATTTCGATGAATGATTTGAGTGCGAGACACTTTGTAGTTTTGTCAGTTATTCCTTTGTATACAATCGACTGTTTGGTATACAGTTATTAGGTTGAACTTGGAATTTCGGTGAATGATTTGATTGTGAGACACTTTGTAGTTTTGTCAGTTATTCCTTTGTATACAATTATTAGGTTGAACTTGGAATTTCGGTGAATGATTTGATTGCGAGACACTTTGTAGTTTTGTCAGTTATTCCTTTGTAAACAATCGACTGGTATACGATTGTTAGGTTGAACTTGGAATTTCGGTGAATGATTTGACTGCGAGACACTTCGTAGTTTTATTGCTTATTATTTTGTAAACTTTGGATATTTATTAATTTTCTACTGCGTAGATTTTGTTATGATCATGAACAAAAATTCTTCCCATAGAGGGTTAAGCAACATTCGAGATGGGAAGCGGTGACCTTGAAGTATCCTCAGCAAATTAAGCAAGGCTATTCCCACTGTTAACGTAGGACTCTGAACAAAAGATCAATTTCGCTCGTTTAACAAGTATTCGTGACGACCGTTACACATCACATGCCCAAGTATCATTACGATTGATATGAAGAGCACTTCAGATTGAATCGTCATACTGTTCACGCCATAAACTTGAAAACGTTCCTCGATGATCTCGACAATTGTGATGCTACAAATAAATATAGAAAAAATTGTTAAAACAGGTAAAGGTTGCAATAAAATGGAACGTCGAGTCTGACTCGACATAGGACTGCTAAGGGTTGAACCTCTAATTTTCGGAATCTAAACGACAGAACATCAATGCTTCTAAAGACAATAAAACAAGTTGTACAATAAACGTCGGTAAATCTAGTGTTAATAACAGTGACTGGGTTCAGTCAAGGGGTCTAGGCTCGAGGGACCTAGAAAGCAAGGCATCGTAATAACAGGCTGCCTTCGCGGCACTGTTGTCCGTTATGCAATTTGATTTCACGGTGTATCATTGTCAACGGCGTAAACGCGAAACGAAACGGCGTGACATTATGTTATCCGGCTCCGGGGAAAAGAAACAAAACAAAATACAGTCGAACCTGTTGTGTACGGTCCTTTTCTATGCGATTCTTTTTGCGCGATCTTGTTTACGCGGTATATGAATTCCAACGGTGTTGTTGTTGGTTTTTAAGCGACGAAAGCGACTTTGAACCAGTTCATCGCAAGATGCGCGTTTTGGAGTAGCAGTGAATTATGCGCATTGTGAAAATTTCTCCGTGTATGAGAAATGAAATTTTCTTTATACATTGACAATTTTCAGGAAATTGTGCGGATGGCAATTTTCAGTGAGGTCGACTTATGTCACTATACATAGAAAAACTCAGATATTAGATTATTATGTAATATATTTTGAATAGATAATCGATTCGTATGAAATTTTATATTTTTCTCAATGCTGTGGCAATTTATAGAAAAATTGTCTTTATAGAAAAACGGTACGCAAAGTGTTAACCCTTTCCACTCCAGATGGTTTTGTAATCTATCAGCAACTGCAACTAATTTTCATAGTATTAGCGAAAATGAGAAATATAACATTTCTTAGATCCTTTATTTTCCTTCTTAGTAGAAAATTTGGACGTGTGGAAAATGTAATAATTTTAGGGTAGTTTCTTTGATTCATTAAAATATCTAATATTATTCCTGGTGCAATATTGGAGCCTACAGAGTTCAAAGGGTTAATTATTAAATTGTATTATCGGCTACTGTCTGCTTTACCGACAGGTGAATACTTAGAATTCAAACGATTGAAACTTTGGAGATATTAGAGATTAATGTTAATTACGAATATTTAATCTTTGGAGATTACTAGATTGAATCTAAGCTGATACTTTTGATGTCTTACTGTTTATAACAATTATCGTGCATAGTACGGGAATAGATGAATTACTATTTAACACGTTGAATGCCATGGGGGTCACCGGTGACCCCTAACCAAATCGAATTGCTATAGTTCACTCAATTAAATCATGATTATTTGAAAACTATGTTATAAATAACAACGTCTTCGCCTCAAGAAATATCAAACATTCCTACCGAAAAACTTCCAACTGCAACGAATTAATAATTTACCATAGTTCTCATAGTCCACTATCATTGAACTACTCGCATCACCAAATATTCTAACTCAACACCAGTTTCCTTCATACAATCTCCAACCATTTCCCAGTCATCGGTGACCACCTTAGCAAATCAATGAATCAACTTGCAACAGAAATATTCAAATACTTATTTCTCCATTGCAGCTGCTCACTCCCACTCGCATTCACATTCGCACTCGCACGGCGGGCACTCGCACGCGAGCGGCCACGAGGACGACCATCACCACGAGGACAGTCACCATCACGACTCGGATTCCCACGAGCTGCTGCACTCGACGGGCAGCGAGCAGATACTCACCGACACGATCGACAGAGTGACGGAAAGCGTGACGGAAACGATCAGCAAGTTCCTCTCCTCTTCCGTGAAGATCTCGACGGGCGCCCCCGTGAGGAACGAGACAACGATGCCGCACACGGAGCACAGTTAATCGTCGTTAAACATCTCGTCCGTGCGAGGGTGAATCCTTCAACCGAGGCGCCAACAGTTCCTCCCCGGGACGAGTGTCGTTCGATCGGCACTCACTTCCGGGGGACACCGATCGCGCTACTCAGAGTACACCGATAGTCTCTCCGAAGAGCGTCTAGCTCGACAAGGCGAGAGAGAAGTCTCGACAGGAGAGGGACAGTATTATCGAGCTTCCGTTTCGAGGTGAGGAAAAGAACGCCGATCCGATGGAACTTGGGTCTGGAATTTTTAGCGGAAATGAGGACCTCGGTGGTTGGTTCAGTGAATTCCAAGTGTAACTCTATGGTTACCAGGTGCTCAATTATTTGATCGAAACGTTATAATGTAGACTGCAAATGTTTATGCGATGAGAAACGATAGAAACGCCTGTAAAGCGGGTGTTGAGTATTTCGCGTGCACCTGATCGATTTACGCGGAGTCCACGTGGATTCGGTTTACGCGAACGAGAATCAAGAGAAAAAATGTTGAAGAGAGCTGGTATATGTTTTAGGAATTTTTGTTTCCAACTAAGAATTTATCATCTGATTTATCTATGTTGTAGCCAGTTATTTGAAGTTACCATAGGAAAAGTCCCAGTATTTAATTTTATATCAATTGCTATGTTCTGATTGATTTTTTTATTTTCATTCTTCTTTTTGTTTCCAACTAATTTATCATCTGATTTGTTTATGTTGTAGCCAGTTAATTGCAGTTACCATAGGAAAAGTCCCAGTATGGTTAGTTAACAGAAACAATGGCAATGACATTTTAGAACAAGAGTATATTTTAGCCACTAAATTCAGAACTAAAAAGAAGAGGCTCGCGTGAAAAGAGTCCGCGTAAATCGAGAGTCAGGTGTATAATTACAACGGAGTGGAACTGTTAACGTAAAGGATATATCTGTAATTGTTTTGTTTCTTATAAATCGGTTGCACGAATATTTGCAGTTTATTTGTAAAAAGAGGTCTTCGCATTTCCTGACCTGGACTGTCTCGAATATCGGAAATATAATATAGGTGCCTTTACACCGCTGTGAAATAATACTCTCGCTTCGCGTGTATTATTTAAGTGTCATATTTATCGTAAGTTTTAAGTGCCAGGAGTGGAATTTAATGGACACTTGTGAATTACGATAGAAATGCGTCTGAGAGAACACGAGAGGGAATTAAAACTGTTATATATCCTTCGGCTGAAGATATATACATATATGTATATATACATATGTATATAATATATATGTATATGTATATGTGTGATACGATTTCACGACACAACGTGTAATCGCGTTACTTATCCTCCTTTTTATGTAACATAGACTGTATCTAACCATGTTGATTACTATCTTTTATACTGTAATTAGGAACGCGTATCTTAATTGTTTCTACAAAATATTTAAATACCAGCACGTATAATATGCATATTGCATGATAGCGTAACGTACAGTTTACGGTGATCGAGTGTCGAATTCTTCCTTTAACCTTGTGGAAGGTCAAGCGTTGAGAACGCGTAGCTGAATTTTTGGAAATAATGCTTTCGACCTGATTTTAACAAATTTAGATGTTTATCATAGGAGATTCTTTATGCGTACATCTCATCATCGTTTTCTTGGTAAATGTTTTTGAATATTTTGCAAATATTTGTAAAATCGCTTGTGGGTCGTCGAAATTGATATCTTATTAACGTGTAAGGCAATGGAAGTCAAACGGAAATATAGGAAACTATATTCTGTAAGAGCTTTCAGTCGTATTTGAAGTCTTGAGTTCGTATACAAGTCGAGTCTATACGACAGGTACATATAAACATATTTTAATGGACATAAATATAAAATATATATTTTCAATCCAAAGAGTCAATGTCCAAATGTGAATTGTATTTTTGAATACAAGGAAATCATGATGCAGCAATAACATGTACTTGTATATAGAGAATAATAATAAATAAACAAAACAATACCGAATATTGGTAAATTGATTTTTGTTTTAACAGTGGCCAAGATATTGTTATTCTGTACCTGTCGATACGTTCTTCAGGTTATTTGTAATGGAGGTATTTTCATTACTTAATTAATGTTACACATTGTTCGCTATCGTTTCTTATAATAACCGTAGGTCTTTAATTGGTGATGTTACAGAAATGTAAGTTACCGAATTAAGACCCTTGTGTGTCGTGAATGTTTATTGTTCCATCTTTTATTATTTATTATCATTTTTTTTCACACTTTATCGTGTGAGTGCTATTGTCCACGGTATGTCTGGTTTGTATATGTAATTTATCCTTCAGCAAATAATGTTAGTACGTATTATTAAGTAATTTTATTTTGTCTACTACAGAATTTATTAATAAAATGCAAAACTTTCATAATAAAACATCGGACTTTTACCTTTTCATTTTGTAGGTAAACAGATAGATGTGTATCACCTTCAATTTAATAATAGAGTTTATTGTACATGTGATACAATCTTATCCAGTTATAGTGCACTCGTGTGCATTTGTAAAATCACAACATTGATTCTATTAAAACGAGTTCTTACAAATCAAATGTGCTGATTATTAAACAATAAATTAATCTGACACAAATAAGAACTACAATTGTATGTTACATCAAGTTTCAATTTCTTTCCTTCTGGTACATTTATTAAGGTTGCAGAAGAAACTTATACATCTTCAATACTATTACTAATGCTAAATAAATGTTGGAAGGGCATGTAGCATGCCCCAAAAAATGCATTCATTTCATAATGTCACATTAAATTAAGAATTCAACTTACTCTTCTCCCATATTTTTGGAATAAGTTGGAACTTCGTACATGTTTGTGGTAACTAATGTTATATCGTGAGGTATATTTTGTGTTTTAAGAAATCACTTTTCATTGTTCATACGTTTCACGAAAAAATAACAATATTTCAATCTTTGTTCTATGCGTCCTCAGAATACTTTTCAAGTCTCACAAATGATCAATGAGGACAAAAAGGAAATAATTCATAATTATATTTAACATAATCTGGCTCATAATAATTGGCCATTCATATAGCAAAGACCATACAAAATGTACAAATTTGTAGACATTTAAAAACACTTTACTCAATAGTTGCTTTCTGTTCTAATATTCTTGGTTCAATCCACTATTGCATATATTATTGCAAATTTTCGTTTGGATGCATTTAATACGTATTGATGTTGCATTGATTACAAAATGTCTATTGATCTACTTCTTCTGAATTTGCTCGTCAACAAAAGCTAGATAGCTAGAACCAACCTTAATGAATGCAAGACCAGAACCAATACCGGCTGTTATACACAAAGCAGGATTCGGCGGTACAATAGATCGCAATACAGCCCATACCAGAACTGATCCAAAGCTTAGTAATACAGCACCAGCAGCACTATTAAGAAAATAGATTATGTAAGGATCTATTTAAAAGATTTCATAATATTTGCATCATTAGAAACAATAAAATTCCATTATACAAGAAATCCTTACCTATATACAATTTTCATACATTGAGGAGCATTTTTCATATGTTCTCGATTATATATATGCAAGCCAGTGCCAACGAGAGCACCGCCCAATAAAAAGTTTGTGACATCTTTCTTTGGAAATAGTCTATAAATATACAGAAGTAACAACACAGATAAAAATCAGAAATTCAAATACAAATTACCTCTTTTATAAACAAACCTAACACAAGCAGAAACATGACATTGGTCATCATATTCATACTCCATCGCTTAACCCGAACATTTTATCATAACTATTTATACAATTCAAAAATAATATATATACGCATATAATAAAAAGATTAAATGATCATTTACACAAAAAACGTAATACTATTCTCTCACGTGCGATTCAACACATACAAACATTTTGAAAATCATTTAAAACTTTCAGTGGCAAAATTACATCAACGTCTATTACTTAAAACAGTTTCAAATAAATGAAATAAATTGTCCTCGTGCAAAATCATTTGTCACGAGTCACACATAAATGGGTCGATCCTTACTGACCTACAACCCCATTCACGAAATCAATCGTATTCAAGAATAGAATAGCCGCGTCGATAAAAATTTTCGAATCAATCAGGAAAACTTGTTTTCCGATACGCGACCGCTTCCATATTACGTAACATTCCATAAAAGCATAACGGCAGAGGTTAACGATTCCGCTTACAACGAATTCTGAACTGCCTTACCTGACGACAAGACTCGGGTACATCACATTGACGGACAACGCGGTGTACGAAGCGACACCGAAAGCCGGGACATAAAATCTGACAAGGCTACATTTCGTGATCGGCTTGAGGCCGAGTTTCTGCAAAATTGTACCGGCGTTCGTACTTCCTGCCGCAGCCATTGTTCGTGTTATTCCGTCTTCACTGAGCTCGTTCCCGTCGGTGAGCCTGGCTTCGAAAATATACTTGCGCCTGAAGCTCCGTCGAGTCGGCCACGGAGAGATGTTTATGTGAAATCGCACCGACGTGACGGCGCCGAGCTCGATAGCGACAAGGATAGAAAAATGAACCCTTGGAATGCGTTCCTAAATACATTGGTACCGCGAGGAGCGTTCTAAAATTACGTATCGTCGCGCGGGGAACCGCGAATAAATTGGTCCGTGGCGTTACAAATAAATGTATCGTTTTATTTGAAATGTGAACTATGTCTCTTACATTACTTATACTTCTCATAACTTACTATTATACAAACGATCGTTTGCTCCGATATTTTTCCTACTGACGCGGGGTAATAGTCATAAATATTATACGTAAACGAAGAGAACGAGACTAACGGTGACACTGTCCTTCGAATTTGTCGTTCGACACGTTTGCTATTTCGATTCGTAGCTGTATTATGTACACGTAAGTTTTGCCGACTACAATGTGGCAGTGAATGTGTCATATATCAATCGCTCTAAAACATTGAATCATTCCCGTACGGTACTAATATATATCTATAAATAAAATAAATATATAGTGTATGTATATATACAACTGAACCGTAACTGGCGAACGAAACAGCTCTCCAAGGATCCGCTATTTGCTTCCATCTAAGATCAGGGGGATCTCCCATAG